GGAGAAGCCTCGGGGAACAGTCTCTAGCTCATGGCACACTTGAATGCTGCATGTAGCCAAGTCATCGTTCGGCAGCCTGTCATGCTCTGATGACCTTGGGACTTTCAACGGACTTGAATTAATGGTCTGTCATGTGGTTTGGTAACATTGGGACTGTGCCTTTTTACTTGTCATCTTTGGGCTTGTCAGTCTCAGCAGCCAGCAGCTGTCTGAGTGAAGAAAGGCCTCTAGCTTCAGTGGGCCAGAAGCAGTAGGCAGAGCTGAAGCCCAAGGTTGAGGGGCTTTCACCCAGCCCCTGGAGCCTGGTACTTTGAACTCAGATTTACAGCATTCAATTTATAAAAATTAACTCCTGTTTGTTAAGGCCATCCCATTTGTGGTATTTTCTTGTCAGAGCGGCACTAGGTAACCAAAACATCTACTGATCTTGGGATTGTTTCTGGATTTGACCTAGTGGCCTGCCGTGTTGCTTGATAATCTTTGGACTGTGCCATTTTACTTGCTGGCCTTGGGTTTGTCAGCCTCAGCAGTCAGCAGCTGCCTGAGTCAAGAGATGCCTCAAGCTCCAGTGAGCTGGGAGCAAAAGGCAGAGCTGAAGCCCAAGGTCGAGGGCCCTTCACCCAGCCCCTAGAGCAGGCACTTTGAACTTGGACTTCTAGCCTCCAAAACTATAAGAGAAGAAATCCCTGTTTGTTAAAGTCATCCATTTGTGGTATTTTCTGTTAAGAGTGGCACTAGCATCCCTGGCTACCTGTGGACAGGTCATTAGGGAGCAGCCATAGGCTCAGGAATCTGTACAGCTCCTTATACTTCAGGGTAGCTGGCTTCTCTCTTTTGTTCTCTCTCTCTCTCTGTGTCTCTCTCATCCCCTGGGAATAGGTCACAAACTAGAAGGGAGTTGTCCTTCATTAACTGCCTGTGGCAGCCTTTCCCTGTCACCTAGTCACCCAGAGCTGTGTATACACAAATCAACTCTATACTCCCAGCACCTGGTGGCTTATTGGCTCTGTGTGTTCATTCATTCTCTAGAATGGCTCACAAAATTCATGGAAACTGTTGCCTACCTATACTTACAGTTACCCATTTATTACAACCAGAAAGGATACAAGCCCAGAGACATATCAAGCAAGGTCAGGGAGAAGTATGGGCATGAGGCTTCCATTGTCTACAGGGACATGCTACATCCTCTTCTGTGCATAAATGTACTCACCAAATCAGGAAGCCCCACAGAGACAGCTCCAAGATCCAGAGTCCCTTAGTCGTTGGAACCTCAGTGAATATGCATGACTGCATCCTGTTCCTTCCCTTCCTGAAGTTAGTTGCCAGGTGCAGGGGCCTATATAGCCCCTACTTGATTAGCTGTTTTAGAAAAACAAAGAGCATCTTAATTGCTCAGCTATTTTTCCTTTTTTAAAATTGCACTGGCAAATCTGCTGCAAAAGATCTCTTTAAAGTTTTACAGAGCAAAGATGTCACTTAGAAGACTAAGGTACACCTGACTCAAGGCATGATATTTTCAATCACCTCATATGCATGCAAAAGCTGGACAATGAGTAAGGAGGACTAAAGAAGGATTGATGCCTTTGAATTATGGTGTTGGCAAAGAATGTTAAATATAGCATGGATTGCGAGAAAAGTAAACAAACTATCTTGGAAGAAGTACAGCCAGAATCCTCCTGAGATGTAAGGATGGCAAGACTTCATCTCTTGTACTTTGGTCATGTTACCCAGAGGACCAGTCCCTGGAGAAGGATATCATTCTTGGTAAAGGAGGAAATACAAAAAACTCACTCCCATCGAGTCAATTCTGACTCATAGTGACCCCTGTTGGGTTTCCGAGTTGGTAAATCTTTACAGAAGTAGATTGCCCCATCTTCCTTCTGTGGAGTGGCTGGTGGGTTTGAACCACCAGACTTCTGGTTACCAGTCAAATCCCGTAGGCACTGAGCCACCAGAGCTCTAGTAAAGGAGAGGGTCAGTGAAAAAGGAAAAGACCCTCAGGGAGATAGATTGTCATAGTGGCTGCAACAGTGGGCCCAGGCATAGCAACAATTGTGACATGGTGCAGGACAGGCAGTGTTTCGTTCTGTTATGCATGGGTTCACTATTAAGTTGGAAACAACGGCACGTGACAACAACAGTTCTCAAATACAGAAAAAGGCTGGACTTACTTCTTTGTCCCACCAAAACCAAACCAAACCAAACTCACTGCCATTGAGTGGATTCCACTTCATAAGGACCCTATAGGATAGAGTAGAATTGCCCCATATGGTTTCCAAAGCTGTAAATCTTTATGGAAGCAAACTGCCTCTTCTTTCTCCCATGGAGCAGCTGATGAGTTTGAACTGCCGACATTTTGGTTAGCAGCCACATGCCTTAACCCTGTGCTACCAGAGCTCCTATGTCTCAGTCACACTAAAAAAAAAAAAAAATCCAGTTGCCATCAGATTATTCTAACTCATGGCAAGCCCCTTTGTGTCAGAGCTGTGCCCTCTGGGGTGTTTAATGGCTGAGTTTTCAGAACTAGATAGCCAGAGTCTTCCAAGGTGCCTCTGGATGGACTTGAGCCTCCAATCTCGTAGTTAGCAGCTGAGCATGTTAACCATTTGTACCACCCACCAACTCCAAGTATCACATTAGTAAGAATATGTTACAATGGAGCTATTTCATAAAGTTGGCAGCATAAATTAGATTTTTTTTTTTTTCATTTTATAAATTCCTTTTCTTCATATTACTATTTTGTATCTTTTTATCAGTAACCACACAGGGAAATAGTTTTATTTTAACTTCATGATTTATTCTTTAGGTAATAATGGTATTTTGATTTGCTTCATCCTATTTTTTTGTGTATAAAACTTTACTTCTTTTATGATACTGTTTGCACATTGTGGGTTCCCCCCCCCCAATGTCATACCATTTCTAGTTGAGCCAGAAGCTTCTTGATAGGATTTTTATCTTATCTTTCATATGTTTGAATGTGCCTTATAATTAGATATCTTTGAATTCCATTTGCCTACCATGTTGTAGGATTTCAATAAACGTGGTGTAGGTGAATGAATGAATGTCAGCTGCTTGCATTTACATAATAAAGTAGGTACTGTGGTAAGCACAGAGGATCCCTGGTTCCACAGTGGTTAAAGTGCTCCACTGCTAACCAAAGGTTGGTGGTCCGATTCTATGAGCTGCTCTGTAGGAGAAGGATATGTCAGTCTGCTTCTGTAAAGGTTTACAGCCTTGGAAACCTTATGAAGGTATTTCTACTCTGTCCTTTAGTGTCACTATGACTCAAAATCAACTTGACAGCAATGGGTATGGGTGGTTAACACTAGGCATATGTTGTGTTAATGGAATCCCTGGTTGGTGCAGATGGTTAACATGCTTGGCTGGTAACCAAAACCTTTGTAGGTAATATATGTTTGTTATATGTATGGGAGAATGAAGTGGTCCATTGATGGAAACAGAAGTTAACGAATGTGCTACCACTACCAGTTGCTGTCCACAGTTAGCTCCTACTTAGGGCAACCCAACCTGTGCCAGAATAGAACTGTGCTCCATGAGGTTTTCAGTGGCTGAACTTTTGAAAGTAGATTGCCAGGCCTTTTTTCTAAGGTATCCCTGGGTGGACTTGAACCTCCAGTCTTTTGGTTAGCAGTGGAGTATGTTAACCATTTGCACCAACTGGGGATTCCATTAATAGAGCATATAGCAAGTCATTGGAGGCACATCACAGAGTATGACTAACTCTACCTAAGAACTGGAATAGTAACTATTGGATCTAATTACTGAGTTGACTTTTGAAGTGTGAGTGTTAGTTCTGTAACAAGGGTTGTTATGGTATTCCAAACAGAGGATAACAGGTAGAGAAACACAGAGATGTGAAAGAAAATGGCATGTTTGCAGAAGTGCAAGAAGGTCAACATGGCCAAAGATCAAGATACTGTTGGAGAATGATAAGAACCTGAAGAGAAAGAGAGAGAACATTATGGAAGGCCATTTGAAGAGATGGGGAATTTGTATTCTACACATTGATAAACCATTAAGGCTCTCTGGCCCCAAAAGCAAAGGACTGGCATAATTTGTGATTTAGAAATATCATTGTCATGAGGTTGGAGAAAATTAGAGGGGATGTGATTAGAGCAAAGAACACCAGTGAGGAGGCTGTTGGAATGCTTCACATTAAAGATAATAAAGGGCTGAACCAAAGCAATGGTAATACAAAGGAAGAGGCAGTTTTGAGAGATTCTTCAGAGCTTAGTGATTGATTGAATGAGGGATAAGAAGTCATTATTACCTGACAAGTTTCAGGCTAGAATAACTGGATTATTATTGCCATTAATATTAGAGAAAGATAGGAGATCATTTGGGACATGTTGGATGTGAAATTGGAGGAACATCCGTTGGGAGATAATCCACTAGAAGTAGAGTTTTGGAAATCAGAAAAGAAGTTGTAGGGTTTAAGTTGTGTATTTAGATTCATTAACTAATAGATGTTGAAGTTAAGGTAGTAGGTAAAATTATACAGGGAGAGTATGTGTACTGAGAAGAGAAGGTTGCTGAGTATAGAATACTAGGAATCTCCAGTATGTAAGACATACTGGATGGCTTCCTAAGTTCTTAGCTCATAATACCCTGAGGCTGTATATAACTTTTTCATACTGTAAGAAAAGTTTTTTTTTTTTAATTGTTGTAATAAAGAGTATAGAAAGTGCTATTTGAAAAATGTTTTGCAAGTTTGCCTTTGAAGTTGTAAGTGAATTAGATATGTTTTGTTGTTGTTATGTGCCGTCAAGTCGGACTCGACTCATAGCGACCCCTCCTTGGGTTTCCAAGGCAGTATCACTACAGAAGTAGATTGCCCCATCTTCCTTCTGAGGAGTAGCCGGTGGGTTTGAACCACCAGTCTTCTGGTTAGCAGTCAAGTGCCTTAGGCCCTGAGTTAGATATATAGGGAGAAAAAAGTGGTTTAAATCTTTGGATTTTAATTTATATCTCTATTTTAGATTGATTCTCTGCAAGATGCCTTTGCAAGCACTTCAGAAGGTAAGAAGTCCAGTGGATCTATCAGTAAGTTCTTGAGACACTTAGAATTAAGAATGAGTGAATGAGTGTGTGTGTGTGTGTGTGCATGCATGTGTGTATGTGCATGTGTGTATGTGTGTATCAGAGCAAGTAAAGACTTTCCCACTCTAAGATGTAGATCTGGGTGCTAATGGCACCACTACCACTGACTATGTGAACACTGAGTAAGCTACTATTGACTTTGCTACGTGAACACTGAGTAAGCTACTCTTCCTCTTTTTCCCTTATTTCTTACCTGTAAAATAGGGACAGTAATGTCTACCTAATTTATCAGGGGCTTAGGGTCTGCTTCTGCTTAGAATGACTCTACTTTAAGGCTGGGGCCTGAGGTATGCAGGTGGGGGTATCGGTGCCTGCTTCCACTTGGGGATGGCTCTATTTTCAGGCCAGGGCCTGAGGTAGGTGGGTGTGGGGCTCGGAGGCTGTTTGCTCTTAGGGGCAGCTCTATTATTTTAAGGCCAGGGACTGAGGTAGGCGGGCGCAGAGTGGTTAGGAACAACTAAGGGAGATGAACTTGTCGTCAGTTTGTCATCCTGTGGTGGCTACATGTTGCTGTGAGGCTGGAGGCTATGTCTCCAGTTTGCAAAATGCCAGCAGGGTTGCCTATGGTGGACAGGTTTCAGCAGAGCTTCTAGACTGAGACAGACTCAGAAGAAGGAAGAAGCCATCCACTTCTCAAACAATTGGCCAGTGAAAACCTTATGAATAGCAGTGAAACACTGTCTGATATATTACTGGAAAGCTTTATTAATAATAGCCCTGAAACATTGTATGCTATAGTGCTGGAAGATGTGCCCATCAGGTCGGAAGGCACTCAAAATTTGTGGAAGAGCTGACTGCTCAGAGTAGAGACAACCTCATATGGACAGATAAAGCTTTTGGGACCTCCACTGGCTGAGGTGGCACGACTCAAAATGAGTAGGAACAGATGCAAACATCCATTAATGATTAGAACATGGATGTACGAAGTATGAATCTAGGAAAATTGGAAGTTGTCAAAAATGAATTGGAATGCATAAAGATCCTAGGCTTTAGTGAGCTGAAATGGACTGGTTTTGGCCATTTTGCATCAAACAACCATATGATATACTATGCTGGGACTGACAAAGAGGAATGGTGTGGCATTCATTGTCACAAAGACTGTTTCAAGGTCTATCCTGAAGTACAGCGCTGTGAATGATAGGATAATATCTTTACACTTAAAAGGAAGAACAGTTAATGCTACTGTTATTCAAATCTATGCACCAACCACCAAAGCCAAAGATGAGGAAATAGAAGATTTCTACCAACTTCTGCAGTCAAAAATTGACTGAACATGCAATCCAGATGTGTTGATTATCACTGGTGACTGGAATGCAAAAGTTGGAAACAAAGAAGAGTTAACCGGTAGATGGAAAACATAGCCTTGGTGATAGAAATAATGCTGATATGGCATAATAGAATTTTGCAGGACCAATGACTTACTCATTGCAAATATATTTTTTTCAACAACATAAGCGATGGCTATACACATGGACTTCACCAGATGAAATACACAGGGATCAAATTGACTACATCTCTGGTAAGAGGTGATAGAAAAGTTCAATATCTTCAGCCAAAACAAGGCCAGGAGGTGATTGTGGACCAGGCCATCAACAGCTCATATGCATGTTGAAGTTGAATACGATTAAAACAAGTCCACAAGAGCCAAAACCTTGACAATATCCTTCCTGAATTTAGAGACCATCTAAATAATAAATTTGATGCATTGAACACCAATGACTGAAAACCAAAGGAGGAATTATTGGATGACATCAAGTATATCATCCATGAAGAAAGCAAGAGATCATTAAAAAGGCAAGAAAGGAAGAAAAGTCTAAAATGGATGTTAGAAGAAACTCTGAAACTTGCCCTTGAGTGGAGAGTAATTAAAGCAAATGGAAGAAATTACTAGATCAAAGAGCTAAAGAGAAGACTTCAAAGAGCAGCTCAAGAAGACAAAGCCAATTATTATAAAGAAATGTGCAAAGACCTGGAGTTAGAAAACCAAAAGGGAAGAACACAGTCAACATTTCTCAAGCTGAAAGAACTGAAGAAAAAATTTAAGCCTCGAGTTGCAATATTGAAAGATTCTATGGGCAATATATTGAATAATGCAGGAAACATCAAAAGAAGATGGAAGGAATACACAGTCACTGTCCCAGAAAGACTTGGTTGACGTTTATCCATTTCAGGATCAAGAACCAATGGTGTTGAAGGAAGAAGTCAAAGCTGCACTGAAAGAATTGGCGAGGAACAAGGCTCCAGGAATTGATGGAATACCCATTGACATGTTTCAACAAATGGATGCTCCACTGGAGGCACTCACTTGGCTGTACTATGAAATATGGAAGACAGCTTCCTGGCCAACTGACTGGAAAAGATCCATATTTGTATCCATTCCAAAGAAAGGTGATCCCACAGAATGTGGAAATTATCAAACAATGCCATTAATATCACCTGCAAGTAAAATCTTATTGAAGATAATTCAAAAACGGTTGCAGCAGCATATTGACAGCTTTCAGAAATGCAAGCTGGGTTCAGGAGAGGACGTGGAACAAGAGATACCATTGCTGATGTCAGATGGATCTTAGCTGAAAGCAGGGAATACCAGAAAGATGTTTATTTATGTTTTATTGACTATGAAAGAACATTTGATTGTGTGGATTATAACAAATTATGGATAACATTGAGAAGAATAGGAATTCCAGAATACTTAATTGTACTCATGATGAACCTGTACATAGACCAGGAGGCTGTCATTTGAACAGAACAAGGGGATACTCCATGGTTTAAAATCAAGAAGGGAGTGTGTCAGGGTTGTATCCTTTCACCATGCTTATTCAATCTGTATGCTGAGCAAATGATCTGAGAAATTGGATTATATGAAGAAGAATGTGGCATCAGGATTGGGGGAATACTCATTAACAACCTGCGATACGCAGATGACACAACTTTGCTTGCTGAAAGTGAGGATGTCTTGTAGCACTTGCTAATGAAGATTAAAGACTATAGTCTGCAGTATGGATTATGCCTCAATATAAAGAAAATGAAAATACAACTGGTTCAGTAAACAGCTTCATGATAAATGGATAAAAGATTGAAGCTGTGAAGGACTTCATATTACTTGGTTCTACAATCAACACCAACAGAAGTAGCAGTAAAGACATCAGATGATGTATTGCATTGGGGAAATCTGCAAAAGACCTCTTTTGAGTGATGAAGAGCAAAGATGTCTCCTTGAGGACTAAGGTGCACCTAACCCAAACCATGGTGTTTTCAGTCACCTCTTATGAATGTGAGAGGTGGACCATGAACAAGGAAGACCAAAGAAAAGTTGATGCTTTTGAGTTGTGGTGTTGGAGAAGAATGCTAAGAGTACCATGGACTGCTGAAAGAACTAACAAATCCATCCTAGAAGAAGTGCAGCCAGAATGCTCCTTGGAAGCGAGAATGGCCAGACTTCATCTCACCTACTTTGGTCATGTTGTCAGAAAGAACCATTCCCTGGAGAAGGATGTCATGCTTGGTAAAGTGTAGAGTTAACAAAAAAGGGGAAGGCCCTCAATGAGTGGATTGACATAGTGGCTGCAACAATGGGCTCAGATACAGCAAGGATTGTGAGGCTGTCACAAGACCGGGGGGGGGTGTTTCTTTTTGCTGTGCGTAGGTACCTGTGCTGTGAGTCGGAGTTGATTCAACAGCACCTAATAATGGCAACAACAATTTATTTCTGAATATTATTGGTAGAAAATATATGTAAAAATACAGAAATACTTTGCAAGAGTCAAGGTAACATGGAAATGTGAGGAATGAATATTGATAGAGTTCTTTTATATTTTGGAAAAATACAATGACTTTGTTTTCTTAATTTGACTTCAATGAGGAAAGGGTGTCTATTAAATTGGTTGGGATATATGTAAACTGGCATAGTCCTTGTATTTCTGTGTATTTTAGTAGATAATCCTTTGAGTGCATAATCAATTAAGAGCAGTTTTGTTATTTTTCTCTCAGGTCATGGTAAAACACCTATTTTAACTCAAACTCGAAGCAGTCATCTAAAGCGGCCAAAGATTGGAAAAAGGTTTCAGGATTCAGAATTTAGTAGTTCTCAAGGCGAGGATGAGAAGCCTCCCCAGACTTCACCTGCAGCTTCAATAAACAAGTAAAAGTTTTAAATTTTAATTTTACTGTCATCATTTTGTTTATTCTTATTTTCGAATTATTAGTATTTAGTATTTTAAGTGGAGGCTAGTAAATGACCTTGGGTGTAGAAGTTCGTGCTTGAATTCTCCTCCAAGAGTACTGATTATATTTACCAGTTCTAAGTGTCGGTATACCTTTACAATATTATAGGGAGAAGATACTAGTGAATAAATGGGATAAAGATGAAAAAGTGGGATAAACTCACTATTTAATCTCTAATCCTAGTGATGTGAGAAAATATTCTAATGATTATATTATCCCAATAAGTCATTACCACTTTTAATTTTAATGATAAGTATGTTGTTGTTGTTGTTATGTGCCGTCGAGTCAAACCCGACTCATAGCGAGCCCTCCTTGGGTTTCCGGTATAGTTTTTAGTAATTCTAAGGTTTGGTTAATTTTTAAAAGCCCTAAGTTTTACAATGGACTGGTGTCCTCAAAATGAGCTCTGGTAGCACATAGTGCCTAAGGCATTTGACAGCTAACCAGAAGGCTGGCAGTTCAAACCCATAAGCCACTCCTAAGAAGGAAGATTGGGCAATCTACTTCCATAGAGATATCACCTTGGAAACCCAAGGAGGGGTTGTTGTGAGTCAGAATCGACTCAACAACAGAGAGTTTGGTTTTGGTTTTTAAGTTTTCTTTTAAAATAGATTCATTTTACTGGCATATTAGATATAATTTTTAAATTAGTGATAACTAAACATAATGAGCTCTGGTAGCATAGTGCCTAAGGCACTTGACTGCTAACCAGAAGGCTGGCGGTTCAAACCCACAAGCCACTCCTTGGAAGGAAGGTTGGGCAATCTACTTCCATAGTGATACTGCCTTGGAAATGCAAGGATGGGTTGCTATGAGTCAGGTCCAACTTGACGGCACATAACAACAATGACAACAACAACAAACATAATGCAGTCAATTCCTTCAAGAATTTGGTAGTTAACTAAATCAACACAACATTTGGGTCAACGGTTTTATCCTCTCTGTCTTCTTTTGAATCTTAAAGAAAGCAAGACTTTAAATTTTAAAATAAGTTTACATATTTGCTTTGGTAGTCCCACAAATTGTTCTAATTCACTCTTTAGTTAATTTACAACCTTACCATTTTAGCTTTCAAATTATTTTACTCAGGTACAGAATTCTGTAGCTCTGTGGATTTCATTATATCAATGAGTAGCTGAATAATTATCTGTATATTTTATTTTCATGAAAAGTACATAATGTTAAAGGCAAGTTGTTGTTGTTATTTGCCGTCGAGTCAGACCTGACTCATAGTGACCCTTCTTGGGTTTCCGAGGCAGTATCACTATGGAAGTAGATTGCCCAACCTTCCTTCTGAGGAGAGGCTGGTGGGTTTGAACTGCCAGCCTTCTGGTTAGCAGTCAAGTGCCTTAGGCACTATGTAAGTATAAGTATATATTTAAATCTGATTAAGCTGTGAAGAGAATAATAGTTTAGATAACTGGTTTTCTCATTGAAAAATGATTTGATGTAATATCTTTTCTTAGGTCTTTGCACATTTCATTATAATACTTCACTGGTCTTCTTGAGCCACCCTTTGAAATCTGCTTTCCAGCTCTTGTTTCATCATTTCTTCCATTCACTCTACTGTCTGTTGAACAGTTAATTGTGTTCATGAGAAACTTTTACACAGAACAAGAGGCAGTTGTTTAAAATGAGGAAAGATGTGTTTGTGGGTTGTATCCTTTCACCATATTTATCTGTATGCTGAGCAAATCATACAACAAGCTGGAGTGCATGAAGAAGAACATAGCATCAGGTTTGGAGGAAGACTTATTAACAACCTAAGATATGCAGATGTTCAGCCTTGCTTGCTGAAAGTGAAGAGCACTTGAAGCACTTACTGTTGGAGATCAAAGACTGCAGTCTTCAGTAGGGATTATACCTCAACATAAAGAAAAACTTAAAACCTTACAACTGGACCAATAAGCAGTATTAACAGTAAATGAAGAAAAGATTGAAGTTGTCAGGAATTTAATTTTTCTTAGATACATAATCAGCACCCATAGAAGGAGCAGTCAGGAATCAGATGCCATGTTGCAGTAGGCAAATCTGCTGAAAAAGACCTGTTTAAAGTGTTAAGGAGCAAAGATGTCACTTTGAAGACTAAGGTGCACCTGACCCAAGCCATGGTATCTTCAGTTGCCTCATATGTATATGAAAGCTGTACAGTGAATAAGGAAGACTGAAGAAAAGTTGATGCCTTTGAATTGTGGTATTGGCAAAGAATACTGAAAATACCATGGACTGCAGAATAACAAAAAAATCCGTCCTGGGAGAAGTGCATCCAGAATGCTTCTTGGAAGTGAGAATGGCCAGACTTCGTCTCAACTGCTTTGGTTATATTGTCAGAGAAGACCATTCCCCGGAGAAGGATATCATGCTTGATAAAATGGCAGGTCAGCGAAAAAGGGGAAGATCCTCAACACGATGGATTGACACAGTGGCTACAGTGATGGGCTCAAGTACAGCAAGGACTGTGAGGATGGTATAGGACTAGGCAGTATTTTGTCCTGTTGTGCACAGGGTCCCTATGAATTGGAGCCAACTGGATGGCACCTAACAACAATAACCCTTTCTAGAAGGAAATATGACAATGGGTTTTAAATTGCACATCTTAGAATTATTTGTTTGCTTTTCATAAGGCTAAATGTTTGAATGCTTATTCAGACACTATGAGGAATAAAACAAGACAAGGCTTATAAGAGTTCATGAAAGTACTGTGGATGCTAAGGAGAGATTTCAGTCTAATTGGGGAAATGGAAGAAAGTTACATTTGGACCAGACCTTCAAAGAGAAGTAAAACTCAACAAGCAGAGTTGGGAGAGATGACTTTCTAGGCTAGGGGTCCATAAAGTAAAGTCTGTGGACCCACTGCCTACTTTTGTAAATAAAATTTTATTGGAACCTATCCATGCTTAGTATTAGTTTATGTGTTATTTATGGTTGCTTTTGTGTTACAGCAGCAGAGTTGAGTAGTTGTGACATAGACTAGGCCTGCAATGCCTAAAATATACCTGGCTCTTTCTGAAAAAAGTTTGCCAACCCCTGATCTGTCCCAGGGCTGTCCAACAGAACTTCCTGCATTGATGGAAATGGTCTGTATCTGCATTGCCCAGTGGGTACCCAATAGCTCATGTAGCTACTGAGCATTTAAAATGTGGCTAGTGCAACCAAGGAACTGAATTTTTAGTTTTATTTAATTTTAATTAATTTAAAAGTAAATAGCAATATGTGTCTTTATAGCTACCATGTTAGACATTGCTGGTCTTAGACTAAGGGAATAACATAAGCAAAGGCACAGAGCTAGGAAGAAGGTTGGTAAGGATTACTGATGTCTGACACAAACAGTAGCATCTAATAAGAGATGTTGTTATTGTTGTTATTTGCCATTGTGTCAGACCTGACTCATAGCAACCCCTCCTTGGGTTTCTGAGGCAGTATCACTATGGAAGTAGATTGCCCAACCTTCCTTCCAAGGAGTGGCTGGTGACTTTGAACCACCAGTCAAGTGCCTTAGGCACTATGCTACCAGGGCTCCTAGTAAGAGATAAGGGACTGGTAATGTAAAGCCTTGTAAGCAAAGGAGGTACACTTTATTCTCTAAGCCATAGATAGCCATCAAGAGTTTCTGAGCTTGGCTGACAGGCATAGGTGTGAAAACCTTGATTAAAAAATGTATAGAAAGTCCAGTGAGTTGGGAAGCAATTACAGTGGTCCAGAGACAATGCAAATAGAAGGGTGGCGATATGTTTCAAAGGCATTTCAGAGGTAGAACTCAACCATATAATTTATTGTCCTAAGTGACATTTTTGAAAGTGAAAAGGATAATATAATTATGCCAATGCTGGGGCAAAAACTGTAAATTTCTAGTGTCCCAGCTAAACTGAGAAGTAGTTCATTTTGACAGAGTGAGAACTAGAAAGAGATGGGTGGAATAAAAGAAAGGTCTAGCTGATGTTACTGGGAAGATATTGATGTTGTTAGCTAAAGAACAAGGTGGGGAAAAAGAAAAAGTTTGTAAGGGATAAAGAGATTTATTTTAAACCTGTAAAGTCTAAAGTTCTTAACTGAAGAAGTCTCTGTAATTCTCAAGTGTTAACTTTTTAAAGAAAGGATTCCTGAAATTTTATATTCATCCTTAATAAAAACAAGTTGAGAATAGTTCATTGTTTTTATTTATAGACTAGAGTCTACTGCACGCACGTCTGAGAGCTCAGAAGAATTCCTAGAAGAAGAACCGGAAGAGAGTGTGATTGAATATGAAGATGAAAACAGTGATAAAGATGCACGGCCAACACCAGAAACCCACCCATGCCTGGAAAAGCAAGATGGTGAAAAGGTATGAGATCACTTATTAAATAAAATGAATAAAAGTAAATTAATTTTAACTTTTTAAATCATATGTTCTTAGAAAAATATATGATCTATTTTAGAATCTTAGAAATTGTGTTTAGTGTTTAAAAAAAGCATAATCTAATGAATTGATACATAAAACATACCTACGTACATGAACTTTTACTCTGCCATAAAGAAAAATAAAGTCTTGATACATGTTACAACATGGATGAACCTTGAAAACATGCTGAATGGAGTAAGTTAGTCACAAAGGTACAAAGGTTACAGGATTTTACTTATATAAAATATCTACAATAGGCAAGGAAAACCAGTTACTACTACTACTATTCAAATTTACACACCAACCACCAAAGCCAGATATGAGGAAATTGAAAATTCGTACCATCTACTGCAGTCTGAAATTGACCGAACATGCGATCAAGATGTGTTAATTATCACGTGATTGGAATGCAAAAGTCGGAAACAAAGAAGAATCACCAGTGGTTGGAAAATATGGCTTTGGTGATAGAAATAACACTGGAGATCACATGACAGAATTTTGTATGACCAATTACTTATTCATTGCAAATACCTTTTTTCGACAACACAAATGTCAGCTATACACATGGACTTCTGCACGTGGAGTACACAGGAGTCAAATTGACTACATCTGTAGCAAGAAAGTATTTTCAGCCAAAACAAGGCCAGGAGCTAACTGTGGAACAGACCATCAACTGCTCATATGCAAGATCAAGTTGAAACTAAAGACAATTAAAAGAAGTCCACAAGAGCCAAAATATGACCTTGATTATATCCCTCCTGAATTTAGAGACCATCTAAAGAATAGATTTGATGCATTGAACACCAATGACCAGAAACCAGAGGGATTGTGGGATGACATCAAGAACATCATCCATAAAGAAAGCAAGAGGTCTTTAAAAAGACAGGAAAGGAAGACCAAACTGGATGTCAGAAGGGACTCTGAAACTTGCCCTTGAATGGAAAAGCAAATGGAAGAAATTACAAGATCAAAGAACTGAACAGAAGATTTCAAAGAGCAGCTCAAGAAGACAAAGCCAATTACTATAATGAAATGTGCAAAGACCTGGAGTTAGAAAACCAAAAGGGAAGA